TCTGGGGTAGGTACTACCTGTGTCTGTATTCATATTATTATTATTATTCTATAATTACTCTGGGGTAGGTACTACCTGTGTCTGCAGCTGCGTAAGGACATCCTGGGGGGCCGGCTGCCCTGCTCCTTCGTGACTCTGGCCGTTTTGGGCTCCTACGCGCTGCAGTCGGAGCTGGGCGAGCACGACCCCGACGTGCACGGCCCCGACTACGCCAAGGAGATGAAGATGGCCCAGGGCCAGACCAAGGAGCTGGAGGACCAGATGATGGAGCTCCACCGCACCTACAGGTGAGAGAACCCGGGCCCAGGTGGGTGGAGGAGGCCAGAGGCCGGTCTGTGAGCTCTGCCCTCTAAGGTTGTCAAAAGTATCGATACTCAAATGTTGTATCCGGATACGATACTCATTTTCAAAAGTATCGATACTCGAATGTTGTATCCTGATACGATACTCATTTACAAAAGTATAGATACTCAAATGTTGTATCCGGATACGATACTCATTTACAAAAGTATCAATACGCGTGCGATAGTCACATATAATAATAATAATATAATAATTAAAGCACTAAGCAATGAAGATCATAGCACAGTGTTTGATTTGACTATATAAGAATTATACTTTTTTTTCCCAGGCTGATTCTAACGTCATAAAAACCCTGACATTATGGAAAATATGGACAGTAAATAATCTGATATTTGACCACAGCCCTCATGTTTAGAGTCTTAATCAGATCTGGGGGGGGGGTTCTGGTTTGATCCTCACCTTTAAATCTGCACTGAGGGGTCGGATGTGGAGCTCCACTAAACGAGAACCAGCTCTTAATAAAAACTCTTAATAAAAGATGGGAGCTTCAGATTTATTTATGTTTTTTTTAACGTTGTTTATGGTCATTAACAAGACGTTAGCCTTCAACTGCTAGCTGCGGCTAATGGATAATAATAACGTGCTACCATTAATCAAGTACATATCTAACTCCGCCCACATCCAAGTCGGCCATTTTGATTAGGTCACCAATAGGAAGATCCCAGGCAAGAAAATCCTAATTGCTTCATGGCAATATAGACATTAATTTAAAAATAGTGAAATTAATCTTTCGAACACTTAATTAAATTCTATCCATAATATTATGTTAAAATAGTGTAGGCTAATGTTAAATAGGTTTGTAGAATAAGTCCAAACAAGTTTAACCAAAAAATATTTATTTCTCAGAATTATGAAGGCTGGAGGGTTAGGTTTAGGGTTTTTAATGCAGGCCACCAGTCACAATAACATTAGTAACAGGTCAGCTTGAAATGACCTGTCAAAACCTTCAGTTAAACTTTGGGGTCTTTGTTTTTATCCTTGTGGTATTGAGTATCGAGTATTTTCCTGAGTATCGGTATCGAGTTGAAAATTTTAGTATCGTGACAACCCTACTGCCCCCCCCCCTTCAGGGCCATGAGTCCAGCCCAGGCCGACCTCATGTTCCTGGAGAACGCCAAGAAGCTTTCCATGTACGGGGTGGACCTCCACCAGGCAAAGGTGAGCCGGCTTTGTTCCCAGTTCCACTCATTAAAGTGGCACCAGTCAGAGCTTTAAATGTTCTCTTTACGCCTTTAGCCCATTGGAGGATTTTCCTCTTTATCTTATTTTGTTTTTTTTGTTAGAATTCAAATGTATTTTTACCACTGGTCCTGGCTAAAGCAGAACCCAAAAGCAATTGGATCAACACTAAACCATCTTAGGACCCAATGAGCTAATGAACTGCAGGTGAGGAGAGAACCAGGTGAAGGGAATGAGAGATTAAGAAGGGAAGGATCTGAAATGATATGAGAATAAGTGACCAAAACAAAAACAAACTCAGTGCTAGATTTAGTATACAATTGTTTGTAAAAGTGGAAATGTAAAATGTGCCTTCTCCAGTCTTCATTTTGTGGTTCTTCATGCACATTTTTTACATCCTGTGGTCGCTTAGTGGTCCGTTCAGGTTTAGTCTGAAATGAGTCTGAACTTAGCAGCTTTTTTCTTTTCTATAAATTAGATGTTTTAAAGGCATTTATTGTACATTTATCTAATACTTCCTTGATGTTGCATATCAGAATTGAATAAAAAAACAAGTATCTATTACTAGATCCTAAATTTTGTTGATGGAACCTCAGTGAGTAACATGAAAAATGTGGTTTTTATTATCTGTACTGTTAGTCCCAGTGAGGTCCTGGAGCTCCTTTTGCTCCTTATTCATTATTTTAATTTGATCATCAGTTGGTGTTGAGTTAAGAAAGTGTAGCTTCCAGAGCTAACGAAAGAGGATTTTAGATTCAGTTTAGTTCAGATTGATGCATCAAGTCTGGAGAGATCTCAGATAAACTCCGCCCTCCTCTGGGTGTGTCTGCCTTTATATTTGGTCATCCTGTTTTCATCCAGGCCGAATCTGGTTTTATCCATATCATAAACCTTTTCCTTTTTTGTCCTCGGCCAGGCCGTCTCCATATTTCCTTCTGAGCTTCAGGGACCACACCACTTTTATTCTTTTGCACCTTAGTGAGTTCATAGTCAGTCAAAAATCTATTGAAACGTAACGAATAGTCGACTTCACACATAAAAGATAACTCAGTTGCCTCCTCTGTGATGATAAAAAAAACCCGCCTCCCTCAGCTCCTGGTTCCTTTCAGAGGGCAGATTGCAGATCATCTCCCTCCCTGCTGACCTCCTGGTGCTCCCTCCTGTCCCCACTGACTATAATCAGGTTCAGGGGTCAGGCTGGTGGGCTGGCCTCCAGCCTCCCCCCCGTCCCAGATAGGTAACCGGGGATGGAAAGATAATGATGATCCAACCACGATGACCAGATATGGAACAGACCCATGCAGTTTTATGCCAGTTGCAGTCTGACCAGAGTCCCTGCAAACTGGAGGGTTTCCATTCGATTCAATTCGATTAAATTATTTTATTTAATTGCTCATGACCATATACATGGTTTGGAGCACAAACAATAAATATAACAGAACCCCCATGCCAATGCACAGATCATCAAAGGACTAGAGAAAAGAAACAAAACGATGGAGTGTTTGTGGAGCTAAACGGCCTTCACGGAGAGTTTCCAGCGATCTGCAGCACTAAGCGGTGTGTTTGGCCGCCTGAGCATCAGGAGGACACGTGACTGGTCAGATTTTCCATCACAAACCAGGTCAATCTGTTCGCGTAAAGCCGAGAGGCGGCCGCGGAGGCCGGGTTCTGCCGCCCCCTGGTGGCCGAACAGAGCACTGCAGGACCACTCAACCCTGAAATAAATCACAGCTCACAAACTGTCAGAGGAAGAGTGTAGAAGGGACATTAGCATTAGCTTTTAGAGCCCCAAACTGTCAGATAGATGGAAGAGTGTTGGAGGGACAGTAGCATTAGCTTTTGGAGCTCCAAACTGTCAGATAGATGGAGGGACATTAGCATTAGCTTTTGGAGCCCCAAACTGTCAGATAAATGGAAGAGTGTTGGAGGGACATTAGCATTAGCTTTTAGAGCCCCAAACTGTCAGATAGATGGAAGAGTGTTGGAGGGACATTAGCATTAGCTTTTGGAGCCCCAAACTGTCAGATAGATGGAGGGACATTAGCATTAGCTTTTGGAGCTCACAAACTGTCAGATAGGTGGAAGAGTGTTGGAGGGACATTAGCTTTAGCTTTTGGAGCTCACAAACTGTCAGATAGATGGAATAGTGTTGTAGGGACATTAGCATTAGCTTTTGGAGCCCCAAACTGTAAGATAGATGGAAGAGTGTTGGAGGGACATTAGCATTAGCTTTTGGAGCTCACAAACTGTCAGATAGATGGAAGAGTGTTGGAGGGACATTAGCATTAGCTTTTGGAGCTCACAAACTGTCAGATAGATGGAAGAGTGTTGGAGGGACATTAGCATTAGCTTTTAGAGCCCCAAACTGTCAGATAGATGGAAGAGTGTTGGAGGGACATTAGCATTAGCTTTTGGAGCCCCAAACTGTCAGATAGATGGAAGAGTGGTGAAGGGACATTAGCATTAGCATTAGCTTTTGGAGCCCCAAACTGTCAGATAAAAGGAAGAGTGTTGGAGGGACATTAGCATTAGCTTTTGGAGCCCCAAACTGTCAGACAGATGGAAGAGTGTAGAAGGGACATTAGCATTAGCTTTTGGAGCCCCAAACTGTCAGATAGATG